GACTGATCTGATAGTGTCTGAGAAGAGAGAGAGAGTCGTGGGTTCGATCCCCTCCTATTACTACTAATCCATATCTTATTATCCAACCAATAGAATGCCATAACATGATCATAGAAAGGCTTAGATTTAGGATGATTCCTCGGTATCTGATAATAATGTGATACTTACACTATCAATATTACTATTACCCCAAACATCTTTATGAACATCTGTTTATATAACATTAATTGTGGAGTAGTAGTATTATCAAAGGCAGCATCAAAGTGTAGTAGAGGTCTTGAACCACGTAGACAGTTACCAGTAAGCTTCATTTCACCAAGGGTATGGACTAATAATACCAATACTACTACTACTACTACTACTACTACTACTACTACTACTACTACTAGATCTTGTTGTTGTTATTACCATTATGTATTTGGAATTTAGCAGTAGGACCATTAGGCATACATCCCATCCACATATAACAATATTGTGATTTACGACATTCCATATATCTAATATTATTATATATTAATATTATACTTATTATTATTACATGCAATTATTGCAACTCTTAAGTTCACATATCTCCTTTATATCTTGTAACCTCTGTTTCTTTTCTACTTTAGGTTCTGATTTACTATGGACACATATCCTTTTAATATCTTCCAATAAATGACGATATCTAATAATAGCAGTTAACCATATACACTAATATCCCCACCACGACCATCATCATATTACCGTGATGTTATGCCTCTACTACCAAATACCAATACGCGTTGTCTATTACGCCATCTATGTTCCGTTTTAATGTACCTTAATAACCATAATATTAATACTCAAGTAATAGAATAATAATACTCAGCCTCCTCCAAGTAATAAGGATCCTTATTCACTTCCTCCTCCACCTCTTCATGATGATGATGCAGCTCCGGATGATTATCTTCTTTACTAGAGTCCGTCATTACTCTACACGATAATGTCGCCTTCAGGCCGATGATACCCCAACTTCAGCATTCCGCGCACGCCATTGTAATCGATTATAATAGAGGTCAGTCTTACATTCTTCTGAGTAACTATGAGTAGTCTATTGGTTCGTAACATCACTACACTATACACCTGCAATGGTAGTAGTAATGCGGTATTGTTGTTATATGTATTGGTAGTAGGTGTCGATGGTGGGCTGGGATGCATTAATAATGCTACAGTTGCTTTTAAAGGGGATAAAGTGGTATATATTGGGAATGATAATAATGAGGATTATGACTATGATATTGTACTATCAGGTGAAGGTCTAGTAGCTATACCTGGTAGTAATATGACTATTATATAATACTCTTCATAATATACTTGTAGTAGGTATGGTAGATTGTCATACTCATACAGTATGGGCTGGTAGTAGAGCTAAGGAGTTTTCTAATAGATTAAATGGTGCTACTTATATAGATATATTACAACAGGGTGGTGGTATACTTAGTACTGTAATAATACTGATAATAATACTTATAATAGTAGTAATAATAGGTTCGAGATACACGTAATGCTACTCTACAGGAGCTGACTACATTATGTAATAAAAGGCTTATAACAATGCTCAATAATGGTGTTACTACTTGTGAGGTAGTAATAGTAGTAATATTATTACAATGAATAATAATTAATAATAGATTAAGTCGGGTTATGGTTTATGTGTTAATACTGAAAGGGATATGCTTATAGCAGCTAAACAGGCTACTGGATTAGTAGTAGGTGATGGTGGTGTTGGTGGACAACAATGCTATACACCTAGGGTTACTACTACCTTCTTAGGAGCACATACTGTAATATATACTTAATAGTATTAGTAGTAATATGGTTATTAGATACCATCAGAATATAAAGATAGGAGATATGCATATATTAGGCAGGTTGTTGAAGATCAATTACCAGTATGTGCACCATTAGCTGATAGTATTGATATATTCTGTGATAAAGGAGCATTTACATTACAGGAAGCAGATACTGTAATAATAATACTACTACTATGACCATTACCCTATTATTGTTTAGATATTAAGGTGTGGTAAAGATAAATATGGTTTATCGGTAAAAGCTCACGCAGAACAGATAGAGCATACCGGTTGTAGTAAGCTAGTAGCATCATTAGGAGGTATATCAGCAGATCATCTTGAAAGGATAGATAATGAAGGTTGTGAAGCTCTAAGTAAAGCTAATGTTGTTGCTGTTATGTTACCTGCAGCACAGCTATATTTAAAGGATATAACACCACCTATAGATCTATTAAGGCACAATAATGTAACTATGGCTATTGGTAGTGACCTTAATCCTGGTACTAGCCCAATACATGATCTATTAACAACAGCTACACTTGCATGTATAGTACAGGTAATAATAATACCTTACTAGTAGTAGTAGTATGGTGCTGTTGTTATTGTTGGTGTTGTAGGGTGTTACTATACCAGAAGCATTATTGGGTATAACTAGACATGCTGGACAGGCATTAGGTATCTCTAAAGCTGGATGGTTAGGAATACATGATAGTTATGCTGATATGGTATTAATACAACCACCTATAGGGGAACCTCCTACTATTGATGCTATTATACAACATATATCTGGTCATACTATTAGGGCTGTTATTAAGGATGGTCGAATTGTCTATAATAATGGTATATAATAAGAAGTGGAATAACAAGAAGAAGAAGAGGTGCTCCTTGTGCTCATGAGTGTGATGTTTCAATCTATAATTGAGTATTGAGTAATAGTAATAATACGTCCACCAAGTCTAGGTACAAGTAGTAGTATTGGTAGTCATATGGTAGGATAATAGAGGATAGTATTAGTAATACCGTTACTAATAGTGGTATAACAACAAACACTCCATAGGAGGTATAATAACTCTAATAGTAAAACATGAATAAGTACTACTATAAGGAGGATGATAATGAGTATAGTCAGGGATAGTATGGGAAAGGGGATATGATATCTCTATTATCGATCTCTATGATGATGATGATGTTGTTCAAGAGTTGGCTCTATTATCAGTTGAGTATAGTAGCTGTTGGTAGTAGTAGTACTAGGGTCTAGTATGAACATGACACTCCCTACTACTCTACTACTACCATACCACCAC